ATTTAATAATCAAAAAACCAAAAAATCGAAAAATCCAAAATTTAGAGAATCGAAAAACTGAAAAATCGAGAAATTGAAAGATTCCAAAACTAAAATGAAATTGAAAAAATGAATAATTTAAAATTAAAAAAAAAATAAAAAAATCTATAAATCGATAAATCGAGAAATTGAACAAGGGAATAATCGAAACATCGAAATCTCTATAAATCAAAAAGCCGAAAATTCGAAAAATTGGAACATGGAAAAATCGAAAAATAACAAAAATTGAAAAATCTAATAATAAAAAATCGAGACATCGAAAAAACTAAACATTGAAAAACCGAGAAATCGAAATCTTAATCAAAATTGAAAAATCAAAAGTCGAGAAATCCAGAAATCGACAAATCGTAATTTCGAAAACTCGAGATACCGAAGAGTCAAAAAATCAAAAAGTTGATTAATCGAGAAATTAAGAAGTCGAAAAATCGAAAATTTAGAAACGTCAAAAAATGAAAAATTGTAAAACCGAAAAATTTAAAAATCGAAAAATTGAAAAATGGTAAAAGTGTCGGGCAATTGAACATGGAAACGTGGAAAATTCGAGAAGTCGAAAATTCGAAGATTCGAGAAATTGAAGAATCGAAAAATTGAAAAATTCCAACACTGAAATATCGAAAAATTGGGTAATCGAACAATTACAAATAGAGAAATTGAAAAATTGAAAAATCGAGCGTTCCAAAATCGAAAACTTGAAAAATAAAAAAACCGAAAATCACAAAACTCAAATATCCAAAAATCAAAACAGCAAAAATCGGAAAATTGAAAAATCTAAAATAGAAAAATCTAAAATTTAATAATCAAAAAACCAAAAAATCGAAAAATCCAAAATTTAGAGAAACGAAAAATTGAAAAATCGAGAAATTGAAGGATTCCAAAACTAAAATGACGAAAAATTGGAACATCGAGTAATCGAGAAATTGAAATAAGTCAAAATCCAAAAATCAAAAATTTAAAAATTGAAAAATTGAATAATTTAAAATTAAAAAAAATAAAAAAATCTCTAAATCGATAAATCGAGAAATTGAACAAGGAATTAATCGAAACATGGAAATCTCTATAATTGAATAATTTAAAATTAAAAAAAAAAATAAAAAAATTTATAAATCGATAAATCGAGAAATTGAACAAGGGAATAATCGAAACATCGAAATCTCTATAAATCAAAAAGCCGAAAATTGGAAAAATTGGAACATGGAAAAATCGAAAAATAAAAAAATTGAAACATCTAATAAGTAAAAAATCGAGACAACGAAAAAACTAAAGATTAAAAAACCAAGAAATCGAAGTCTTTATCAAAATTGAAAAATCAAAAATCGAGAAATCCAGAAGTCGACAAATCGAAATTTCGAAAAGTCGAGATACCGAAGAGTCAAAAAATCAAAAAGTTGATTAATCGAGAAATTAAGAAGTCGAAAAATCAAGAATTTAGAAACGTCAAAAAATGGAAAATTGTAAAAACGAAAAATTTAAAAATCGAAAAATGGTAAAAGTGTCGGGAAATTGAAAATGGAAACGTGGAAAATTCGGGAAGTCGAAAATTCGAAGATTCGAGAAATTGAAGAATCGAAAAATTGAAAAATTCTCACCCTGAAATATCGAAAAATTGAGTAATCGAACAATTACAAATACAGAAATTGAAAAATTGAAAAATCGAGTGTGGCAAAATCGAAAAATTGAAGAATAAAAAAACCAAAAACCCCGAAACTGCAATATCAAAAAACTGAGAAATCGAAAGTGGAAAAATCCAAAAATCAAAAATTGAACAATTGAGAAATTGAAAATTCGAAAAATTGGGAAAAAATTGTAGTTCTATCTACAATTTTGTTATTTTTCCAAAAGCCTCGATGACTAGAATCAAGATTCAGAGAATCGAAAAATTGAAAAATCAGGAAATTGAAACATCAGAAAATCGAAAAACTGAAAATCCTAAAATTTAAAAATCAAAAAATTGATAATCGAAAAAGTAAAACTCAAAAAATCGGAAAACTGAAGAATCGATAAATTGAAAAATCTAAATTAAAAAAATCGATAAATCGAGAAATTGAACAAGGGAAACATCGAAACATCGAAATCTCTATAAATCAAAAAGCCCAAAAATTCGAAAAATTGGAACATGGAAAAATCGAAGAATAACAAAAATTGAAAAATCGAGACATCGAAAAAACTAAACATTGAAAAACCAAGAAATATATGTCTTGATCAAAGCTGAAAAATCGAAAAATCGAGAAATCCAGAAGTTGAGATATCGAAACATCGAAAATCAAGAAATCGACAAATAGGAAAATCAAAAAATCGAAAATCCCAAAACTAAAACATCAAAAAATCCAAAAATCGAAAGTTTGAAAAATTGAAAATTCGAAAAATTGTGAAAAAATTGTTATATCTATAATTTTGATTATAGGATGGAGAAATCTATAAATCAAAAAATCGGGAAAGTGAACGATGGAAAGATCGAAATATCGATAGTAAATCGAAAAATCGAAAAACTGAAAAATTAAAAACTGAAAAATAAAAAAATCTAAAAAATCAAAAAGCCGAAAAGGCGAAAAATTGAAAAAATCCAACATGGAGCAATCGAAATAGGCCACAATCGAAAAATAAAAATAATGAAAAACTCGGAAAATTTAAAATCAGTAAAAATTGAAGAACCGAAAAATCTAAAACCGAAAGATCGAGGAATTAAAACATCCAAAAACTGAAAAATCTAACATTTGAAAATTCGAAAAATTGAAGGATGGAAATATCGAAAAACTGAGAACTCCAAAACCGAGGAATCGAAAAATCTAAAATTTAAAAAATTGAAAAATCGAACCATCAAAAGTCGAAAAATCGAAAAACCGAAAAAGTAAAAAATTGAGAAATCGAAAAATTCAAAAGTCGAAAATGGAAAAATTCAGAAAGCGAGAAAGCGAAAAGTCGTAATCGGAGTTGAAAAATCGGAAAATTGAATTGAAAAACTGAAAAATCGAAAAACCGAGATATAGGTACAGAAGTCGAGAAATTGAAAGATGGAAAAATCGAGAAGTCAAAAATTCGAAGAATCGAGAAATTAAAGTATTGAAAAATTAAAAAATCTCAACACTGAAATATCGAAAAACTGAGTAATTGGTAAACTGAAAATTGAGAAATTGAAAAATTGAACAATAAAAAAATCGAAAATCCCAAAACTGAATTATCAAACAACTCAGAAATCGAATGTTGAAAAATCAGGGAATCGAGAAGTCGAGTAATCGAACCATTGAAAAGTCAAAAAATTGAGAAATCTGAAAATCAAAAAATCGAAAAGTCGAAACGTCGAAAAATCAAGAGATCGAAAACTCGAAACGATGAAAAAACAAGAAATCGAAAAGTCAAAAAATGATAAAAATCGATTAAAGACGAAATTGAGAAACAAAAAAATCGAAAATTTAGAAACTAAAATAAAATAAAAATCGAAGAATTGAAACATCGGAAAAATTGCAAAATAAAAAAAAACTAACAAAAAAATGAAAAAACTCGAAACCAAAATGTACAAAAATTGATAAATCTAAAGCTGAAAAATCGAGAAATGGAATAATTGTTTTATGAATAATTTTCATTTTTTCCAAAAATCTTGATGTCTAGGATTCATAAACCACAAATGAAGGAGTACGTAATTTTATAAAATTTAAATAACATTTACTATTGTAAAATTTGAAGAAGTCATTCCATTGTTAGTGGGAACGAGCAGACCAACTTCGGTTACCGTTTTACCAGCTACATAATCTTCCCAACATACATACAAAATTTGACAACAATCGGTCCGGTAGTTTCAGAGATTATCCGTCTAATAAAAATCCAGCTAGACGACAGATAACCAGACAGACAGACGGAAACGGAAGCCATATTTTCTTATTCTAGGGGTCATGAGTCATGAACTCATGACACATCGAGAAAATATGAAAGTAGCCAGTTGTCCGATGGACTCGATTTCAATAAAATTATCATAAAAAATAAAACTCACATCGTGCAATTTTTCGAAAAATCTGTATTTATTTAAATTCACATTTTTAAATAACAAAATGTTCTTAAAAATTTAGCTTCTCAGGGACACCAAGAAACAATTTTTTAATTTGCACTTAAACGTACTCGTGTTAAATTACCTTTATTCTTATAGAAGTGTGCAGGAAAAAGTTCAGTGAAGTTGCTTGAGTTCCATTGTAAGAATAAATCTCTGTACTCACAAAAACACACCCTTAGAATGCGAGCGTAGCGAGCAGATAATCGCAAACATTTTTAGTTTACACCTTTTTTAGACAATAAAAAATTCTCTTAGTAATGATTTAGCTTCTCAGGCACACTGACAAATAATTTTTAATAACATCTAAATGTGCTCGCTGTGCTCGCATTATTATGATAATTACTTCGTTTCTTCCATTAATGAGGATATTTATTGTTATTTTTAGTTTACCTTTCTTTACTTCTTCCTTATATTGTATAATTTCTTTCGTTGGTAACATTCTCTTTCTTCCACCTCAACGTCTAATTACCGGAAATTATAGCCTTCTTTACATTAAAATACCATTTTTGAGCAAAGAATTTCATCGCGTCGGTGTATTACATTATTCAATGTAAAAAGCGCTTTCTCCAACAAAAACACGTAAAAAATTAAATAAAAAGCAACTTATAATACGACACAAAAAGTGGTGAATCACCACCAGAGCCGTATTCAGCTCGTAAAATTGACCCGAACGACGTTAAAAAACCCAGACCGACGCCAACTTTTCCACGAACATGAATAAACGCTAAATTCTCTCTACACTTAATAATTTCGAATTTCAGTGAAATTTACATGCACTTTTCGCAGAAACAGTACGAAGAAATCAACCAAGTCCTAATAACAAGCAACCAAAAAAATTCCTACATGTCTCCGTCTGAATATCAAATTTGTCGCAGCAAATTGGACAAGCGTAAAGTGGAAACGGGATAAGATTCAGGACAAGTGTTTAGATTTGCTTTTATTTTTCCATCTAGCACGGTTACACATAGACAAGTAGACATTATTTTATGTATCAAGTCAGTACTTATTTACAAATTATTATTAATACTAATGTTCCTCTAAATATCGAGACCCACTGAATACAAAAATAAATAAATCATACGAATTCACATTACAAGCGTATTGATTTCAACACCATCCACTTAGCCTCCCCCAACAAAACCACGTTTTGACTGCTAATAGATGCATTAGACGAAATTTAAATAATTGCATAATGTGGTGCTAGAGCGCCTAACTGAATTAAAGTGCACTCCGGGCCAAATGAAATTAGGGCCCCAGGTGCCAGAGCGTCCAACGAAAAAAATCCTGCGAACGGAACTTTCCAGGATCGGGATTAGAAACAAGTGACGGCATTGAAGTAGCATCTCCAATAGACGCGTCCTTTTTGCTGTCCTCCCATGCTGCCGTGACCTCTCCTCTGCAAATCCATCTGCAACAAACGATCCTTTAAAACTAGGTCGGACCTAATCGTTCATAACAATTACAAATGGGAAACCTGGTAAATGTAACTGAGAGTATTCTTCCAGGAAATGCAAATTGCCTTCAGATGTCTGCTCTGAAAGCTCTCCGGAGTGATCGCGGAGATGATAAACTGATGTTGACTTTTGAAAGCTGCGTTTCATGGAGATGGATATTCGTCCTGTGTTTACAGGTGCGTGATATGAAAGGATTTTTTTTCGTTTTGAGGATATGAACACATTTAAATGCAATGAAAGGGGAGTTATTGCATGTCAACTCAGCCGATTCCAATTTTAATTCCGGCGATATGCGTAAGTGTATTTAGCTGTTGATTTATTTGTCTGTCTACGATAGCCACTTTTAAATTTTTTAAAAATTTTATTTTAGATAAATGTGAGTTTCGGGAAAAATTTTGCTGTTTTGTAGCGGTTTCTTTCTTATTCAATTGCATTTCTATTAATTTGTCAATTCCAGAATATCGGATGCCAATTAAAATAAACTACATATTTTCAAATATGTACTTAGGTCGGGTCAGCTCAGATGAGCTCAAGTCAGGTCAGGTCTGGCTAGGTCAGGTAAAATCTGGTCTGGGCAGATTAGGTCCAGCCAAGTGAAATCGGGTTAGATCAGGACAGATCGGATCAGCTCGGGTCAGATCGGGTTTGACCAGATCAGGTAAGGTATCAGACCTTACCTGATCTGGTGTGTTGTGTAGTAATATTTCTATCGTTATCATATTGAGAAATACGCAGGACGACTAATTAATATCACATCTTGTGCCGTCTGTCTGTTTTTTTGTGTGACTGACTGTCTGTTTACCGTCTTTAATTTTTCGATTTTTAAATGTTTCGATTTTTCAATTTTTCAATTTTTGACGTTCCGAAATTTTCGATTTTTTGATTTTCCCATTTCTCGATTTCTAGATTTTTCAGTGTTTCGATTTTTCGACTTCTCAATTTGTCAATTTCCCGATTTTTCAATTCTTCAGTTTTTCGGTTTTTCAATTTTTCGAATCTGAAAGTTTTCTGATTTTTCAACTCCGATTTTTCGACTTTTCGATTTTCCAGTTTTTCGTTTCTCAATTCCTCGATTAACCGATTTTTTATGTATCTTTTCGATTTCTCGACTTTTCGGCGTTTCGACCCTCGAATTCTAGATTTTTCATAGTTACGATTTCTAAATCTTTCATTGTTTCGATTTCTCGATTTCTGGATTTGCCGATTTTTCGATTTTTTTTTCAATTCTTCAATTTCTTGGTTTTTCAATTTTTCCAATTTCAAGTTTTTTGTTTTTTGACTCCGATTTTTCGAATTTTTGATTTTCCAATTTTTCGATTTCTTAATCTTTCGATATTTCCTTTTTGGGATTTTTTAATATTCCGATTCCGCAATTTTTCTTTGATTTTTCAATTTTTCGATATTTCAATTTTGGAATTTTTCAAAATTTCCATTTTTCAATTATTCGACTTTTCAATTTTTCGATTTCTCGATGTTTTACCTTTTCGATTTTGAAATTTTTCGATTCTTCCATTTTTCGAAATTTTAATTTTTCAATTTTTTAGATTACAGATTTTGGAATTCCTCAATTTTTCGATTATTCAGTTCTTCGATATTTCAATATTTAAATTTTAAATTTTCCGATTTTTTAGTTTTTCAATTCTTCAATTTTTCGAATTTCAGGTTTTCTGATTTTTCAACTTCGATTTTACGACTTTTCGATTTCTCGATTTTCCAGTTTTTCGGTTCTTCAATTTTTCTTCGATTTTTCAATTTTTGACGTTTCTAAATTTTCTATTTTTGATTTCTCAATTTCTCGATTACTCGATTTTTTTATGTAATTTTTCGATTTCTCGATTTTTCATCATTTCGACCTTTTGATTTCTCCATTTATCGATTTCTAGATTTTTCATTGTTCGATTTTTCGATTTATTAGTTTTTCAATTCTTCAATTTTCCGAATTTCAGGTTTTCTGTTTTTGACTTCGAATTTTCAACTTCGATTTTTCGAGTTTCTGCAATTTTTCTTGGATTTTTCAATTTATCGATATTTCAGTTTTGGGATTTTTCAATATTTCCATTTTTCAATTATTCGACTTTTGGATTTTTTTTTGATTTTTCAATTTTTCGATATTTCAGTTTTGGGATTTTTCAATATTTCCATTTTCAATTCGACTTTTCGATTTTTAGATTTCTCGAGGTTTTACCTTTTCGATTTAGAAATTTTTCGATTCATCCATTTTTGATATTTTAATTTTCCAATTTTTTAAATTACAGACTTTGGGATTCCTCAATTTTTCAATTATTCAATTCTACGATATTTCAATTTTTAAATTTTAAATTTTTCGATTTTTTAGTTTTTCAATTCTTCAATTTTTCGAATTTCAGCTTTTCTGATTTTTTAACTCCGATTTTTCAACTTCGATGTTTCGACTTTTCGATTTCTCGATTTTCTAATTTTTCGTTTCTTCAATTTTTCTTCGATTTTTCAACTTTTGACGTTTCGAAATTTTCTGTTTTTGAATTCTCAATTTCGCGATTAATCGATTTTTTGATGTAACTTTTCGATTTCTCGACTTTTCAACGTTTCGACCTTTTGATTTTTTGATTTCCCCCTTTATCCATTTCTAGATTTTTCATTGTTCAATTTCTCGATTTCCCGATTTTTCGAATTTTTAGTTTTTCAATTCTTCAATTTTTCGGTTTCAGGTTTTCTATTTTTTGACTCCGAATTTTCAACTTCGATTTTTCGACTTTTCGATTTTCCAATTTTTCGATTTCCATATTTCCTTTTTTGGATTCTTCCATTTTTCTTTGATTTTTCAATTTTTCGACATATCAGTTTTGGGATTTTTCAATACATATTTCAATTTTTCAATTATTCGACTTTTAGATTTCTCGATGTTTTACTTTTTCGATTTTGAAATTTTTCGATTCTTCCATTTTTCGACATTTTAATTCTTCAATTTTTTAAATTACAGATTTTGGAATTCCTCGATTTTTCGATTATTCAGCTCTTCGATATTTCAATTTTTAAATTTTAAATTTTTCATTTTTTTAATGTTCCGATTTCTCGATCTTTCAAGTTCTCGGTTAGAGATTTTTCGGCTTTCCAATTTTTGGGATTTCTCGATTTATCGAAATTTCGAAATTTCTATGTTTGGGCTGTTCAATTTCCCGATTTTTTTGATGTCGTAACTTTTCGATTCCTCGACTTTTCGACGTTTCGACTTATCGATTTTTTTATTTTCCCATTTCTCGATTTCTAGATTTTTTATTGTTTCGACTTCTCGAATTCTCGATTTCCCGATTTTTCGATTCTTCAGTTTTTCCGTTTTCCAATTTTTCTAATGTCGGTTTTCGGATTTTTTGGCTTCGATTTTTAACTGCGATTTTTCGACTTTTTAATTTTTCGATTTCTTAATTTTTCGATACTTTCGTTTTGAGATTTTCAGTTTTCCGATTCTTGAGTTGTTCATCGATATTTCAATTTTTCGATATTTCAGTTTTGGGATTTTTCAATTTTTCCATTTTTCAATTTTTCGATTTCCCGACTTCTTACTTTTTGGATTTTTTAATTTTAAAATTTAGATTTTTCCATTTTTCTATTCCTCGATTTGACAATTTTTCGATATTCTTATAATAATAATACATAGACATAATAATAGTATTATTTTTAAAATTGTAGATTTTCGATTCCTCGGTTTTTACGAAAATTCAGTTCTTCGATATTTCAATTTTTAAATTTTAAATTTTTCAATTTTTAATGTTTCGATTTCTCGATCTTTAAATTTTTCGAGGCCTTGGTTAGAGATTTTTGGGTTTTCCAATTTTTTGGATTTGTCGATTTATCGAAATTCCGATGTTTCTCTGTTTGGGCTGTCCAATTTTCCGATTTTTCGATTTTGGGCTATTTCGATATCTTTATTTTTCAATTTTTTTGATTTTGTAACTTTTCGATTCCTCGACTTTTCGACGTTTCGACTTTTCGATGTTTTGATTTTCCCATTTTTCGATTTTGCGACTTCTCGATATCCCTATTTTTCGATTCTTCAGTTTTTGAATTCTTCAATTTTTCGGTTTTCCAATTTTTCGAAAGTCAGGTTTTCGGATTTTTTGGCTTCGATTTTTAATTTCGACTTCTCGACTTCTAGATTTTTCAGTTTTTCGATTCTTCAGTTTTGGGATTTTTCAATTTTTCCATTTTTCAATTTTTTGATTTCTCGAAATCTTACTTTTTGAATTTTTTAATTTTTCCAATTTCAAATTTTAGATTTTTCCATTTTTCTATTCCTCGATTTTACAATGTTTCGATATTATAATACTAATACATATACATAATATTAGTATTATTTTTCAAATGTTAGATTTTTCGATTCCTGGATTTTTCGATTTTTCAGTTCTTCGATATTTCAATTTATAAATTTTTGATTTTTCAATGCTTCAATGTTTCGATTTTTCGTACTTTTCGGTTTTATGTTTTTCAATTTTAAATTTTTTTTAGTTTTTCGATTTTTCAGTGTTGGGCGTTTCTCAATTTATCGAAATTTCGATGTTTCAACTGTTCACTTTCCCGATTTTTCGATTTTTTACTTTCCAGGTTTTTCGATTTTTACTTTATGGTTTTTCGATTTTGAGCTATTTTGATTTCTCGATTTCTCTATGTGTAAGTTTTTCGATTTTCCGATGTTTCGACTTTTGGATTTTTCAATTTTTCAAAAGTTTAATTTTTCAATTTTTTAATTTCTAGATTTTTCGATTCCTCGATTTTTCGATTTTTCAGTTCTTCGATATTTCAATTTTTAAATTTTAGATTTTTTAATTTTTTAATGTTTCTTCTCGATTTATCGAAATTTCAATGTTTCGACTATTCACTTTCCAATTTTTCGATTTTTAAGTTTTCGAGTTTGGGCTATTTCGATTTCTCAATTTTTCGATTTCCCGATGTTTCGATTTCTCGATGTGTAAGTTTATCG